GCAGCACTTACCCGAACACTCGAAACCGCCTCGATCGATATTTGCTGTTTGTCAGAAGCCCGCCTGCAAGATTCGAGTTCCGTGTTTACTCTGCGATCCCCCACATACGACATTGGCGGCACATTCTCATTGCGCCTGTCTGGCGAAGACGCAGCTTCCAATGCAGGTCAAGCTAGCGTCGACATTGTTTTGAGTCCTCGGGCTGAAGTTGCGCTGATCGACTGGATCCCTGTCAACAGCCGGATGTGCGCCGTTAGGTTGACTGGCTCGTTCCAGGCTGCGAAGTCGCGCGGCATAAACGTGCCTGTTTGTTATTGCGGCTTACGTCCCCACAAACTGCAGCCCTGATTCGGTGAAAAATGATTTCTATCACCAACTTAACGATTTGCTTCGTTACAGAAAAAGCACGGATACTGTGGTGCCTGATGGTGATCTAAAGACCCAAGTCTGAAAATTGTCCTCTGATGAGCTTCCTCTGGGTGGCCAACCTGGTGTAGGCTCCCGTAACGATCACGGTAAGCGGTTGCTACACCTGTGTGAAGGTGTACCTCTGTTTCTCAAGAGCACTAACTTTCGACACAGCACCCGCAGAAGAGTGACTTGGCGCCCATCAGCCACGAAGAAACCATGAACGCAAATCGATCACATCGCGATTAGTTACCGCTGGAGAGGCTGTGTTCAAAACTGTCGCTCGATTTGGAGCACCAGCGTGGACTCCGATCACGCTCTCGTGTGTGCCGACCTGCGGGTGCGTTTTGGCGGACGTCCGCAACGTCGCTCTGAGCGGATTGGTATCAGCCAGCTGGCGAAGCCGGGTGTTCTGGATGCGTATGAAAGTTCGCTCGCATCTGGGCTGAGTAAGCGTCCACTAAACACCGTCGATAATCACTGGTCGCATATTCGTCAAATGTTACTATCAGAAGGCATGTCTTCATGTGGCAAATCATATTGCCAAATTGCGCATTGGTTCTATACAACGTCTCTTGAACTTATGGATGCACGCCGACGTATTCCGGCTGGAATCGAATACAATGAGCCTCGAAATCCTCAGGGGAAAACTGCGTGCTAGCCTGAAGAGAGACTGCGAAGCCTAGTGGTCTCATTGTGCATCGGAAATGGAAACAGCCGCTGCCGCTGGTAATCATCATAAGTTATTCCGCGCAGCAGGAGACCAGGTGTTAGCGAGACCATACACGACGTGAGTGGACAGCCAATCCACAGCTTGTCAAAACGCTTGGAGCGTTGGACTGAACACTTTACAAGGCGGTTTAACCAATCTGAGTTATCGCCTACTTTTTCGGGCATCGAGTGCCCTTCTCCATGGGCCGTCTCCTTAGACCCGCCCTCAAGCGCAGAAGTCGAACGTGAGATCGGAATCTTGAAATTGCATAAGTCCGCAGGTGCAGATAGAATTTCCGCAGCTCTCTACAAATTCGGGGGACGTACTCTTGTGGATGATTTACACGAGTTGCTAATGGAACTTCTGGAGCCCGATACTGTCCCGGCAGACTGGAGCCGCTCCGTCATAGTCCCAATTTCCATGGGAGGCTTCCGTTCGGAATGCGGCAACCATAGAGGGATCAGTCTGATCTCAACTGCCTATAAATTACTTGCCTCTATCGTTATCCACAGACTGACTTACGCTCGTGAAAGCCAGACCCGCGTAGAGTAAGCCGGGTTTCGTCGAGGTCTGGACTGCATCAACCACATCTTCACTTTGTGTCAATTGTTGGAGTACTGCCATGTTTATTGGTGACCCACGGTAGTCGTGTTTCTTAACATCGAAGATGCCTTCGATTCGGTGGATTGATATGCCCTTTGGGACTGTCTGCTGAGAAAATGTGTGCCCGATAGATACGCAAACATTATCAGAGCGCTGTTCGCGCATAGTTCGGGCAGAGTGAGGGTTTCTGGCAAACCATTGCCGCCCTTCAATATCACCGGCGGTGTGTGACAAATTTGCCCGCTGTGACCTTTCATCTTTAGCTTCGCTATTGACGAAATCATGGAAAGAACGTTTGCTGGACACGGTCTAGAAGGTGTGGAGCTACTTCCTGGTGAGCGACTTCTTGACTTGGAGTATGCGGACGATATTGCGCTAATCAGTGACTGATCCCAAACGTGCAAAGGAGCATTGTTTTGATTAGCACTGGCTGTCAATCTTTTTGAGCTATGCTTTGCTCTATCGAAATACAAAGTACTTCTCCAAGATTGGCAGGGTCTGAACCCTGCGCTAACGTTTTGTGTTGACCTGCAAGAGGTCGTTCAGGAATTCAAGTACCTGGGCAGCTACATTAACACCGGTGGGATTGAAGGTGAGATTACGAACCACATAGCAAAAGCTCGAGGTGCTTTTGCCAATCTCTGCCACCTATGGCGCAGACGCGACATCACTGTCGCCCTGAAGGGTAGAGTGTATAATGCAGCCGTCCGTTCAACCCTCGTATACGGTTGTGAAACCTGGCCCATCAGGCCGACAGACATAAAGAGGCTGGTCACGTTCGATCATCATTGCCTTCGCAGCTTAGCTCATGTCTGGTGGGAGCATCGCGTGAGCAATGAGCGTGTTCGGGGTCGCGTACTTGGTGCAGGAAGAGCGAGTCAACCGTTCAGCACAAATGCATCATGCACCAGGCTCCGATGGCTGGGCCACGTGTTGCGCACGGTAGCACATCGACTCCCGCGACGTGCATTGTTTGCGCTTGGAATGTGGTTGGAAGTGGAAGAGGTGATGGTAAGCGATGAATTGGTCGAATGAAATGAAAACCGTCACTTCGCATTATTGGTCGGTTGGTGCATCCCGACTACCTGGCTGGGATATTAAGGACGATGAACTCGTTTGTTTGGACACACTTGCTGTTTTGGCTAGGCGCCTTCCCTCATGGCGTTTGTGTTGTGCGTTTCTTTGTCCACCCGCTCCAGCTTATCTTACCCTCCAATCGCGATCTTATTCGTTAGGCGTAGTTTATCTCTTTTTTCGGCATAATCGCCGGCTGTTAGCTCTTCAGGACGATGTCCATCCGTTTCTGGGGACTCTGCCGGGGTACCTCTCTTGTTTTTTCTTGTCTTTGTATTGTGGCACAATAGCTGATTTGTTTTTCACCTCCAGGTAACGTATTTACTGCTGATGCTAATGATTATGTTGAACTAGTTATTGGCTGCACTGCATTTCGGCCACTCTACAATGGAAAAACTGTGACAACTTGTAGCAACTCTCGTACCGTTTTTCACATCCGAACTGCTCCATTTTCATCTCTTGTTTCATTGATTCATTATCCACTATGTCAGATATAATACTTTTCTAACCTCTGGTCGACTGACTAGACAGTTTAAATTGCCAGGCTATGCACACAATCTAATGTTGATGTTCTTTGGCAATATCTTATTTACTCATGTAGGATGTGGTGTGTAAATGAGACTGTGGGTAGTACAACGCAGTCCACCTATGGTCCCCCAGTAGGCGCCGGCTTCCTGTGGATGTCCTATATAGAAGGCGAATTCGGAAACGAATGCCACCCACTCTGTCGGCACGGTGCTAGTGTTGCCAGTTATGTGCCCCAATTCTCGCTCGTCATCACTAATCTCCTCATTAGTATTGGGTTAAAAACTTCTCAACTACTGTGCCGCATTACGAATCTTTATGATAGTAGTGGAAGCCATCCGCGAAACGCTGAAACCAACCAACTACTTTAATGTCGATGGTCTTCGATCTTATTCTGTCTGCTCATATAACTTATGGGTACTATTCATCATTTCAAGCGGCCGTCAATCGTGAGTTATCTGAGCGGGGATGTCCCGGACGAACCAGTTGCCAGTTTCCATTGTTGAACGAATCGCGACTCTGTATGCCTTTCTTGTACTCGCCCGTCCCCGTGCTTACTCTTGATCGTACACAGTTTCAACAAGGGGATAGCTTTGTCTGCCTGGACAGCTGCGTGTCTGCTGGTGACAGTGTTGATAAGGAACTTTCCCCGCATCGCCAAAGCTCGGTCCTCGTTTATCAACCTGCAACACTTGTGGCGTCTCCTTCTTGGTCATGTTTACAATACCACCTTTCTGGCAATGTTACTATATGGATGCGAGTCATGGGCAGTTCGCCTGGATGATATCCACCGTATCTCGGCCTTCGAAAGGGGTGCTTGAGGAGCATTGCTCTTGTGTGGTGGAAACAAGGTATCTGCAATAGTGGAGTCAGATGTCGTGTCTTAGGGAATGCGAGTATTCCCTTCAAGAAGCAGTTTTTGCCGCATCAGCTATGACTCGGTCACGTCCTGCGTATGTCAGCCGAGCGTTTGCCCCGTTACGCCCTTTTCGCTCGTAAAATACTCGACTGAAAGGGACCACGCGGTGGTCAACCATTCACCTGGTGACATCATATGAAATCACGTCTTGCTGCCATTGGATCCACACGCCTCCCTGGTTAAGGACCAAAGGACGAGGAGTGCCGATGGATGAAAACATTTGGGGATACAATGCGCAGCCGAAACCCGTGGAAGATCTGTGTACATATTTGTTTAGATTAAGATTCCTAATGCCTAACAATAGGAAAGACAAAAAACGAAAAAATGCCGTGTGAACAATAAACAAGATTCCGTTTTTTTACTGCGGCACAATAGCTGAAGTGTGTTACTCAACTACTGCTAATGGGCCATGATGATAATGTGGCGATTAAATCTGTCTTCTCCCAGTGATTTCCATGGTTTTGTTTGACTCTGTTGCTAATACCTACATACATATTTTATCCGGGAAAGCGAAGGGCAACCATCGGTTACGATTCACAATGGAGGCTGTCTGTTGGAGCGCGTTGTAAACACATTCAAGACATTGTTATGCGGATCCGCCCACAGAGTCAGTACGTTCATGGTTCCAGCTCCTTCTGCTTTAGTGGACACAACGATTGCTTGTTCTTGAAATTGTTATCAGGTTCGCATCAACGTGCACGAAAGCATACACTTTGAGATCCTTTGTCATATCTGGTTTGTCTTGCTCCAACGTTTTAGAGCTACCCCGTGGATTCTCTCACACCGACCCAACAGGAAGTTCTGCAGCAGATGCGTGAGCTTGGCTTGGCATATCAGCGCAAGCGTACTGCCCCTCGATTTTACGTCACACAACTCGCCGTTGGCTTGATCGGGTCTCACTCAGAATCCTCTGTCTCAGTGTCTGCTGACTGCGCAATGGAACTAACTCCAGGAACCATCCCTAGCGGGGTTTGTCATTTACCTGGCATACGCTCTAACACAGCACTTCTGCAGTTTCATGCCTCTGATAGCTCTGAAGTTGGCTACATTATTTTGGAGACAAACTTCCGGCTGTATGCTTACACAGGTTTGTTTCAATTAATGTTGACGAAACGTTCTGAAATCGGTACCTATCCATACAAGTTATGCCTCCAAGTAACGTTGGTCGCGTTTTTAAATTTCTGTGTAGAGAAAATATTATTGTGCGTCACACTCTTCTTTCGCTATTTACTTGTTGATACTTTTTATGGCTAGAACATTTTATAGCGACGGTCACCAAACGTTTTTCACAGCTGGCCGGATACCTGACAAAATGGTTGGTGTAGGCAGCATTACCATTGTGCACGATACTTGCAAACCAAAACAAAATCTTTGAGAAAATACACCGAAAACGCAGTACTCGGTGTCCGTTTCTCCTAGTACTCTTGTTGAAGATTGAACTAAAGAGGACCTGAGTAAGCAAAAGATCTTAAATTAAAAACAAAAAAATCCACTAAAACACCCGAAAAATCACTAGACTCGTGGGAATTATTAGAACTGCGGCGTACCACAGCTGGTGGTGATGGTCGTTGGTACCTTCTGTAATAGAATATATCACACTAGAATGTGGTATATATATATATATATATATATATATATATATATATATATATGTGGTTGGCGGTATCTGGTTTCGGATTCGCCTGTCATTGTGGCCAGCCACAGGACGCCTGCGCCTACAGAGAAACCATGGGTGGCTTGCGCTGCACCACCCACAGCTCCAAGCACACATCTCATATCCAGTGTAAACCCGAAGGAATAAGACCGGGAGTCATGTGGATGGGAGCCACATTTCATCAACAAAGCTGGCCCACGCTCCTTCACAGTCAAACACAAGCACGCTGTATTTAGGGAATCAACCGCACACAAGGCGGTGGCTGGACCGTAGTCCGCTCCACACTGAATGCATGGAACCACTCTTTGATCCTAAAACGGCCACAAGGACCATGCATCCCGTCCTCTCCATCAACGACCAACTGTCTCCTAGAGCCAGTATGGACGAGGTGGTAGATAATAGACAGGTAGGCACCGTATCAACCTGCACATAAAGCGTAGCCACACCGGGGATATCAAGCAACAGCCAAACACTTGAGAGAAAGATAACAAATGAAATAAATCGAGTAATGCATAAGGAAATAGTGACATAAATCTTAAATTCATAAGCATACGAAATAAGTTGTTTACAAACGAATCCGAGATACGTTCACGAGGTCAGAAAGCATATTTTACGGAAATGTCACAAACAGGAAAATGTTATCGTAATTAACTACAAATAGCTTAAGCGACGTGTTCGAGCTTATAGGAGAGAGTACTGGTACACATTTAGATGAGAAAGAAAAGCATAAGGACAAAATTGAAAACCCACTACCTGAAATAAATAGACTTATGATGCAAGCACGCGGTTGGTAAATCGAATGCAGCGCACCTACAAACGCTGCGCCGATTCGGCCTACGTTCTCTGCAGGACACGTCGTCGCTTCGGTAGCTGTTCCGAGTGGCCTCGCTCATGGCAAACTAGGCCTACCTGACACAGGCACTCGCGACCGCATGTGCTACAGCACCATGCGCTCGATGTCGATGGAGTACAACCCATGGGTGCTTGCCGTTTCCGCACTTGCCGCTTCTTCTCTGCATGTATGAGGTCTTTCTCCCGCACTTCGGCAACTGCCTTTGTGATTAGATCGCGCCACGCACGCCGATCAACCGCCTTCGATTCCCATGACCTGCAATCAAGATTAGAACGTGAGAGGCTCACTTTGGTCATGTCCTGGTAACGTAACTTTGGTTTCTCCACATGCCGTTTCCCAATACCCAGCTGACCATATAAAAGTTGTTTCGGTATTCGCATCGAATCCATACGGCTCACATGACCGAGCCACCTCAGGTGTCTCAGTAAAAGTATGCAGTGCGCTGCATACATTCCACTTCGGCGCAACACTTCCGTGTCAGCAACTCTGTCGCCCCAACCGATGCGCAGAATCCGTCGCAAACACTGCTGATGGAACCGCTTGAGATATCGCACATCCCGCCGGTACATCGTCCATGTTTCATTGCCGTATAGAAGAACGGATAGCACCATGGATTTGTACACCATCAGCTTCGTGCCAATGGTAAGCTGATGGTTGTTCCACACTCGGTACTCAAGCTTCCCGAATGCCGCCGCTGCCTTCGACACGTGGATACGCAGCTCACTGTGTAGCTGGTGGTCAATCGACATCACACTCCCAAGGTAGCAGAAGCGGGAGGTGGTTTCCAATACTTCAGCACCAATGCTGATTTGCGGCAATATTGAAGATTGCACGTCCGGTGAAAACTGAAAGAGACAGACAGTTTTGCTTATGTTGATGGTGAGCCCGAATTCGGCCGCTGTCGAAGCCAGAGCACTAGTCATGTGCTGCAACTCATCTGCGCTGTGTGCAAACAACGCACAGTCGTCAGCAAACAAAACACACGGATAGTTGTCTCCCGGACTAGAGTTCTCGCACAGAAACGATGGATGTTCAGCAACCCACCATCAATACAGTGCTCCACTCGAACACCGTAAGCACAAGCCGCATCAAAAGCCCAAGACATCATTGCATGAAGATGTATATTAAACAGGGCAGGAGCTAAGACACAGCCTTGCTTCACACCAGAGATAGCTGCAAAGTCATCCGAGGTCTCTCCACTCAGCTGCGCCCTCGCTCGCATACCACTGTGCAGACATTCAATTGCATTTACAAACTTACGCAGACAACCAAACTTACCCAACACCAGCCAGAATGCCTCGCTGTTCACCGTATCAAATGCCTTGATGAAATCAACAAAAGGCGAGCACAATGGCTGTTGTTGTTCTCTGCACTTCGTGCAACTGACGAACCGCAAACACCCTATCTACAGTGCTGCGACCCGAGCGGAATTCAAGTTGCTCTTTCGCCACGTTAGGTTCCACAACCTGACTGACGAGGCGGTTGAACGAGATTCGGGCAATCACCTTGCCCACACAACTCAGCAAGTTGATGCCACGATAATTCGTGCAACATTGCTTGCTCCCTTTACCCTTGTACAGTGGTAGCACAAGGGCATCCTTTAGCTCAGAAGGCAGCTCCTCCTCAATCCATACGCATTGCATCAAGTGTTGAAGCGCAGTCAGCAACGCGGGTCCGGCTTGTTTCAATACTTCAGGTGGGATCCCATCGGCCCCGACACACTTGCCGTTGCGCAGCTGAGCAAGTGCTCTCTGCATCTCATCCAAATTCAACGTGTCCACTAGACTCGCCTTCACATCGTACTGTTTGAGGCCGTTCAATGTAGGCCAGTCGATCTCTGAACGGTTGTTCGAGAGACAGCCAAAGTGTTTTCGCCAGATTTGCATTATGTCTGCAGTCTGTGTGCAGGTAGCGCCTGAACTACCATCGACCAGCGTCCTCAGCGGCTTCAATCTCGGTCCATACACGGCCTTCAAGGAGTCAAAGAATTCCTTGTGTTGGCCGCCTTCGTCTTAGCATTCCATCTGCTTCGCCTTCTCCGTCCACCACGCATTTTTAATGCGACGGAGCTCTCGTCTCAGTCACAGTCGAAGTTTGCGAAACTGACTTCTCTTTCCCAAGTCACTGGGGTCTGAAACATGTGCAGCAAATGCTGCATTCTTCTCCGACACCAATGCGCCAATCGTCGCATTGTTCTCATCAAACCAATCAGTCCGCCTACAGTTTGTGTGCCCGATGGTTTCCTCGACAGCAGCTGTCACCTGGTCGCGAATGTGGTGCCACATGTCGCCCACTGTGGCTATGCAGTCCACATTACACAGGCTTGCAGCCATCGCCTTCTCCAGCTCAATACGTTTCGCCACAGTACCGAGGGAGAGAATGTTAACTTTACGACGATTCACGGCGGGTGTGCAATAGATAGATTTACGAGAATATATGCACAGTTTGGTCCACACCAATTTTTGATCAGTGCTACGCTCAGCTCCACGCAGTACACGTGTCATGCGCACTTCACGCATATCACGCTGACGTACGATGACATAGTCGAGCAGGTGAGCGTGACCACTCCGTGGGTGCGTCCATGTTACTATATCACTCGCACTCAGTGCAAACCGAGTGTTCGTGATCGTCAGGCCGTGAGTGGCACACAGTGAGAGCAGCCTGTCACCGTTCGCATTCGCTGAACCAATGCCATGCAGACCGATAACATCTGTCCACACCGATGCATCACGCCCAATGCGCACGTTGAAAGCACCCAGCAGAAATAATCGGTCCCTCCTTGGCACAGACCGTATCCCGGAAGATAGCCGAGTGTAGAATTGGTCACGCGTGTCATCAGGATAACACATGGTCGGACCGTACGTGCTTATAAAAGTGACAAACTTACCTCTTCCGAGTCGTAGGCGAACGGTCATCAGTCGCGTGCTGATGCCTGTTTGTTCAACCTCGAGCTGGCCATGGAGGCGATCAGATATTGCAAATCCGACCCCATGTTCACGTGGTGCTGAGGCGTCGTTGCCCACCCAGTAGAATGTGTAGCCAGCACCTGTTTCATGCAACTTACCTTGCTCAGCGAGCCGAGTTTCACTGAGCGCCCCCAATATCGATGTTGTATCGTGCCAGTTCCATCGCGACCAGTGCAGTGCGTCGTTCCGGGCACTCAATCGAGTTCCGATCCAGTAGTGTGCGCACGTTCCAGCACCCGATGCTGAGTGCTTTGCGCGCAGACATACGATTGCATTGGTGGGCAATCGCACGCGAGGTGGTCGTTGTGCTTCGGAGGTTTGCTTGAGGGACTCCACCCTGAGACTTTGGCTCAATAGCCTTACCCACAAGGCAGTGGGGAGCAAATCCAACTTGGGAATGTAATTTACGGAGACAGATTAGGATCTGCTTGACGGCCGTCACACGCAGCCTTTGTGGTACTCGAACTATTTATACATGTTTTGCGACCGTATTAGGATACATCTGCGACCACGGCCAGACGCAGGTGGGTTTTGTCGGGTTTGCATCAATTTGACCAAGGGGGCAGTAGCAAACCATTGAACACCCAGAGGTGCCATTCCACCGTCAGAGACAA